CAGAACTCACAAAGATCTGCCTGCCTCTGCCTCCCAAGTGCTGGGATTAAAGGCGTGCCCCACCACGCCTGGCTATTATTATATTTTTTAATTAATTAATTTGAATTTTTTTTGAGAGAGAGCATCACCCTGTAGCCCCAGTTGACCTGGAACTCACTATGTAGACCAGGCTGGTGTTGCTCTCATAGAGGTTCACCTACCTTTGCCTCCCGAGTGCAGGAATTAAAGGAATGTGCCACCATGCCCAACCTCATATCCCCATATTCAACATTTTAAACATACACCAAGATATCTTTTCTAGTATACATATTTATATGCCTGTGTATACATACATATATATGTACATGTATATATATATAAAATTTGACAATTAAAAATAAGAATGAAAAGGCAGTTTCAAGTAGTTACATAAAAATTAAGTTAGAAACCTGCCCCCACTTGCTGATATAATGCTGTTCCTCACTGTCCTACAAAATGCTCTCCCAATCTTTTCCATCCCATTTCCAGATCCAGCAATGTTCCACAAATCAGTCCTCTGTACACTCATAATCTCCATTTTACTAAGACGAATATTGGATTTCCTTTCTTTCTGGGGTCACTAACTTCCTATAGAGAATAACTTCTTGTTCTTGTCCAAGATTCAGGCAAATAAACAAGTTTTCCACTTTAGATTCTCACCATGTAATAGTTAATCTTAGTTCTCAACATGATGAGATCAAGACTTACTTAAGAGATGAGTTTCTTTGAAAATCTTTGGTGGGTTATTATAAGGCTCCATTCCCTAGGCTGAGACTTGAGCTACATGAAAAAGAAGAAAATGGGGACAAAGAAAGATGAGACCAAGAATTCAATGTTCTCTGCTCTTGACTGTATGAAACGTGGCCAGCCGTCTCAAGCTCCAGCTGCTGTGGCCTCAACAGTGGTGAATTATTACCTCAAATTAGCAGCTAAAATAAACCCTTTCTTCTTTAAGCTCCTTTATTGGGGTATTTTATCACAGAAATTGAAAAGTAACCAAGACACATCACAGTTATTAAAACCACTTCCAAGATGAGAAAATAACAACTCGATTAAAAGAGAATACAGGGAAAGTTGAAAAAGTCTTTTAAAATTATGTTAAAAAATATATACATGTACATTTAACATGCATCTTTTTCGTGTTATGGAAAATTTGTTGTGTAGTCAAGAAATAATTAACAAAGAGGACAATTAACAATAGAATACAGGGCTGGAGAGATGGTTCAACGGTTAAGAACAATGGCTGTTCTTGTAGAAGACCTGGGTTTGAATCCCAGCATCCACATGGCAGCTAACAACTGTCTGTAACTCCAGTTCCAGGGGATCTGACAGCCTCTTCTGTCCTCCACAGGCATTGTATAACAGACAGCCTCTTGTCCTCCACAGGCATTGTATAACACGGGTGCACTTACCTACATGCAGGCAATACACACATACACATAAAATAAAAATAAAATAAAATACTTTTTAAAAAAAATAGAATAAAGATTAACTGAAATTTAAAACCCCAACTTGTTTACCCTCAACTACAGAGGATTCTAGGAAATGTATATTATAATTTTATTTTATGTGCCCTGACATTTTGTACCATATTTCATGGGCATCTGAGAAGCAGAGTAGTCTTATTAGAGTCTTCTTTGATTTTTGAATAAGGATTTTATACATCCAATTTTCTCCATTAAAGAAAAATATAAAAGCCAAGTTTCACTAGATAGTACACAAGTGCATGAAAACATCTAGAACATTCCTACACCTCACTGATTTACTTCCAATGAAAATGCCCCAAGAAACATGAGATGACCCTTCTTGCTTCACTTCTGCCAATACAATGCCCACCTATTACCAATTAATAATGAATTATTAATCAAGTCTGTGGAGGAAATTAATTATTAATACTGCCTTTACAGTTCTAGTTGTGTGCAGAGCTTTTTTGTGCAGGATTCCTTGAGTTAGGGTGCTCCTGGCTTTAAAAGCCCTGTTTAACTTGTGGATAATTTATACCTGAAACTCAGAGGGAAATCAAAGCTGGGGAGCAAGTAGAGGTCCCAGCATACTTAGCGTTATGACAACAAGCCAAATCCCCATCTTGCACATGATCATTTATTAAATAAATAATGAATATTTTATGATAAATTCCCAAAAGAATGATTTTACAATAGCTTTTCAAGTTAGTCCTTCACAAAATCTATTATGTGGGTCTGCCTGCTCTCTCCTTACCTGTGTCCTGCAGTGGCCACTTGGGATAACCAGAGCAGCTAGAAATACTCAATAAAATTTGCTGAAAGAAGTAATTTTTCTCCTTGAAATTTCCAACTTGAGATAATAAATGTTTAGCATTCTACATCACTATCTTAATTCTAAATTTAAACCTTAAACTTGGTTTTTAAATTTGGTTAAATAATTGGCTTAAGTTATTGTTCCAAATTCCCTTAAGCCCCAGTTATTGAGGGTAAAAGAAACTCACAATGAATATTTAAGTCTGTGGCTGTGCACTCCGGGTGCACCATCCCCTTAATTCTTCCTTCTCCACCTGTCAGAGCAAACTTGTCCGAAGATTAGCAGCAGCTGGAACTGGGTGCTCCACAGCAAGCACTGATGAATCAATCACCCTGCTCTTCTATATGCAGTCTGGATAGAGAATGTGGCTCACCTAGTATTTCTGTACTTTGACTCTGCTTCTCTGTACAAGATTTTAAGGATATGGTGGCTCAACTTGAACTCCTGTCTACTAACTCAGAACTCCCTGGGGGAACAAAACATTCATATGTAGATTCTATGTGGGTGTTTTGGAAGAATTATAGAACATCTTAAATATTGGTATATCCTAAGGATCCTGGGATCCTGTGCTCCTGAGTTTTGCAAGCATTTGGGGCAGCTGACCTCTAGGTTTGATGGGTCCTAGGTACAGCAGAGAGCAGAACAGAAAAGAGTCTGGTGGGAAGTGAGTTGTCTGCCTAGACTCTGACTCATATTTCTGACCCCATGTAAGACGCTTCATTACCATGAGCCTCTTTCTTTTGTTTTGTTAAGTATTTCTTTTAGGATATAGTTGCGAGCTATAAAAGCTGTCCTATACCACAGAATAAAGTGGTATTGCACATTTTACAAGCAAAATAGCCCTTGGCCATATGTGTGTGTGTGTGTGTGTGTGTGTGTGTGTGTGTGTGTGTGTATAATCACAGAACCAAGAATAGCCATATCATTTCTATACCTGTATTTAATTATGTTTGTATAATTATCCATATATATACACATATATATATAGAGAGAGAGAGAGAAGGAGAGAGAGAGAGAGAGAGAGAGAGAGAGAGAGA